CATACCATACCATACCATACCATACCATACCATACCATACCATACCATACCATACCATACCATACCATACTATACCAGACTAGACTAGACTAGACCTTTCAAATATTAGTACTACCTTAAGTTTATATTGAATTGGGTCATATCATTTTATTGCTTTTGAGCTCTGGTTACCCCTGCAGAGGAGGAGCCAAAAAGAAAACAATTTACATTTATGAAATAAAGCTCATTTTAATGAAGAAACAAAAACCAAAGTGTTTAAAATAAAAACATAAACAATTACATTTTACAGTTTGCTAGCCATAACAGAAAGGTTAATACATTTATTTATATTTTCCTTTTCTTGCTGTCTGCCAGTCAGCATTTAAAAGGCAGATTTATTACAGAAAGTTTGAAAGAACTGAAATTTCTCTTTAAATCCTCAGTAAAAAATCATTTAGAAAGATTTTTCTTCATTTAAAGCAACACTTGCTCGTTGACTGTTAGTTTCTTCATAATCAGCTCTGTCTTTCACCAAAACCTGCGGACTCTCCACATCCACATAATCCTGCAAAAAAAGGCAAATAGTCAGTGGATTGTTTTCATATGAAACAAAATAATTAGTCAGAGAACAGGAGTAAACTGATCCTAGACTTATAAGAGAAAACAGACAGGAAGTGAATTTAAGGCTGTTAATGCTGATTCAGCATTCACATATTTTAATTATTATAAGTATTAATATGGTATAAGTCTTTCTACATACAGTGTGTTTTTGTAAAATAAATACTTCTGCATAATTTGTGCTGTTTAAGCAAGTCATGTATCTAAAAGGACAGAAGAGATGGTTGGTATGACTTTTGGTTTTTGTAATGTTTATCCTTTTAGTTACAGATATTTTCTGTCCCTGGGCTGCCACCTAATCATGGTGGAGAGGTTTGAGTGTCCCAATGATCCTATGAGGGTGTGAACAACGCAGCGCTGAGGAGCAGGACCAGAGCAGGACTCTAAGCAGCTCGTTTTTCTGCAAGTTATTTTGTTGAACTTTTCTTTTTCTTCTTTTCTCTGAAGGCGATTGTTAAATTAGCAAGATGAACAGCTCTGATGAGCAGCTGATCTGATCCTARTGAACAAGTGAGCATGCAGCTGATGTTCACATCTTTTTTCCATCACCACCGTTAAGAAGAAAAAAAAGGTTTTCCTGCTCGCACATTTCATTCAACACAACACTGATCATTGAGTGAAAAGAATAATAAATAAACTGGAAGAACTTGGAGAGTGCAAACCTCCGCCAAGACCAATTTCCCCCATCCTGTAAGAGTTAATGCACAAAAGCAGAGATGGAAACACATTTGCTGAATAAGTTCTGATGTAGTGAACATTTAAGCAGCAGTATGTACGGGATTTCTTCTCGGTGGAGTCCAATGTGGAAAAAAAAGTCAGACTCGTAACCCGACGTTGTTGAAAGCTTTCACATCGGTGCTATGTGATTCAAAAAAGCAGAGTTTTCATCGCACGTCTAATCACACAGACACACACGCGTCTTCCTATCTTTGTGAGGACCACACACAACGGTCACAACCACGGTCTGCGCATTCTTTTTCACCAAAGTCTGGTGAGAGGTGGATAGAGGGGCGCACAAAAAGCTCTCGACTTGATCTGGCCTCATTTAAATAATAATAAAAATGAACAAACAAACAAACAAACAACCTCCGAGTCTGAAGTCCACCGCATCACTCCTCTTCCTCAATCTTCATCGATCTGTGTACTAGCCTACCGACAATGTGGTGTGTTTGAGGAAATGTGAAAAATAGGTTTCATGGTGCAGTCACGCACTTCCTGGTCACAAAACGTTCTCCAAATGCGCAAAAATGCACACATTATGGCAAGAATTATTCATCATTACCTCCGCCAAGGGCGAAGTAATGTTCTCAGTCGCGTATGTCTGTCAGTTCGTCTGTTTGTTGTTCTGTCTGTGGACAACATTACTCAAAAACTTGTGGACGGATTGTCATGACATTTTTACCACATGTGGGTACTGGGCCAAATAGCACACCTTTAAATTTTGGTAATGTTCCGGATCACGATGCGGATACAGGAATTATTTTTCTTTCAACACTCTGACATCGGCAAAGCTGTGATGCTTTCACAGGGCATGGGTTTCAAAGTGTCCAACAGGTGGCACTGTAGTATTGGTGTGCCCCTTTGTAACTCTATTACAGGATGGGGGAAATTGGTCTTGGCGGAGGTTTGCACTCTCCCAGTGCTTCTAGTTACATCTGGTTTTAACATTACTTTTATAAAGTTTGAAGTCCAAACACTGAAAGCTGTCACAGTTTTTTTTACAGAAGCCCTGTAAAAGCATCACAGCTTTGCTGATCTGAGAGGATTAAAAGAAAAAAATTTCCTGTATCCGCATCGTGATCCAGAACATCACCAAAATTTAAAGATGTGTTCCTTGTGCCAGTATCCATGTGTTGTAAATATCATGACAATCCGTCCACAAGTTTTAGAGTAATGTTGTCCACAGACAGGACAGACAGACAGACAGACAGACAGACAGACAGACAGACAGACAGACAGACAGACAGACAGACAGAC